GAAATATAACAGAAAAATGAGTTAAGAAATCATTAAAATAATTGCTGTAAAATCGTAAGGCTGTTCTGAATCTCGTAGATATTCAATATTTTTACGATGGCCCAATTTGTTCAGTTTATACTAATTTGTTCGCCCTTCACAAATTCTGTATTTTCAGAACTGATAAATAAAAGTTTGTTAAAATAAATAAGAACGGTAAATAAATTATCAGACTCGCATAAAAAACAATAGTTTACATTTTAGATGTTGTTCTTGTGGTTTTAAAGTTTTTGTATAATTTTCATGTTTTAGGGTTTCTCAGAAGTTAAAAATTTCTACATTCTTCTTTATATCTTAATTTTATGGAAATGGGTTTAATAGATACTAAAGAACTAGACAGTATTTTGAAATAAAATGTAATCCTATGATATGAAACATAAGGTAATGAAGTCCGTTCGTAAATACGCTATTTTTTTTTAAAAAAAACCGCACTAAGATATACAACAAAATAATTATACGTGTATAAGAATAAAGTTGTAGACCTATAATTTATGAGGTTTTGACGTATAATTTATATGTGTATACGAAGAATGTACAGATGTATGAAGTTTTTAAGATTGAAGTTTTATACATAACGTAAAAATAAGATTTTATAACCGTAAATATTTCACACTGAAGACATGGATGACTTATATATAAACTTACGTCTAAATATATAAGAACTGCAATTTAGATTCCATCACACACGAACTGTAGGAATGTAATCTGATATTTGGGGAAGAGAGCGCTTCATTTTCGACACTACAGTGGCCAAGGGTCAGGGGTTCGCGACCTATTTCAGACCTAGTAGTGTAGGAATGTAATCTGATATTTGGGGAGGAGACCGCTTCATTTTCGACACTACAGTTCCCAAGGGTCACATTCACCCGTTATTAAAGACTCGCGGGGCGCAAATTAGAGATGAAGACAGTTTATTCAAACTTCGTGGCAGTCGGTTTACGGACACACTAGGAGTGATATTATAATACTTTTCACAGTGGCGGAAAATATATGAACAAGGCGTGTTAGAAACTCAGTAAATGTCTGTGTGGAACATCCTAACAAAGGGGAGATTTTTACACTGATAAGTTATTAACAGGGATGGCGCCAGACATGTTTAATTACCAGTCGAAATGTTAATTACATCAGATTAACAGCTGCTTCACGCATTTACACCGCAAGTAGTTTAATTAATAAGGCAGACGGAAAAAGGTTTAAAACATGTTTTTTAAATTTCTTTATAACGATTTTTGGTGAAATACTTTCTACGCGAATTTTATTTAAATTACTGTTAAGTGTCACATTTATTATTTTCAGTTCTATTTTAGGCGTGCGTCCACGTGTTCATAACTAACAGGAATTATTTGGATAAAACTTGGTATAATAAACACACTAAATGTTATCGAATCATTTTAATTTTGATTTAGCTTGGTTAATCGGACTTATATGAAGTTTTTTCGTGCACATTTTTAATCCTGCGACAGATTTTGATTAAATCTTATAAGCAAAGCTTAAGTTATACGAATATTTTCATAAATGACTATTAATATTTTCCTGGATGTAAACAGTTTTGGGTGAGAGTTATTGGTATCTGAGAACCTCAGACTTCATGTAACCATCTAAAACTCCCCTTTAAACTAAAAAATAATAATAAAAAGCTACTCAGTTTCAACAGAGATTTTGTTCAAGTATAGTAATATTATGTGTTAGCATAATTATGAAACTCTGTAATCTGTTTCTTTGCAAAATTGGTTACGTCATAGTCACATGCTGTCAGATAAACTATACATTAAAATTTTGCAATGTCGCCTTATTTGTAATGTTTCATTCGAGTTTTGTGGATATGTATGCGTTGTATCTCGGTACTCACATGAACAGCTGAATTACATCCGCGTCGTTAACAAACGGAAAGTTAAATAAGACATAATAGCCACATAGTTCCTACACGCATACAGATAATAACTAACTGCACATATTTCGAAGTTCTACAGTTTAGGATCACAAATTAGATGGCGTTAGTGCCACTTCCATCTTATAACTTAATAAAGAGGCCATTTTGGTATTATTCAACGCACGAAATTAGAAATTACCAAAGTCGGGTGACCACCAACAGTAAGACGTTTCGTGGATAAATAAATAAATATATCTATCAATTGGTTAAAATTTACTGTTACAATTTATTATACTTCAAACACGTCGTTTTCTGGAATCATAACTAAAAACCAAAATTATCCGTGTTAAAATATATCTGAATATTCCAAATGAGTTGAAAGTAAACGCGCTATTTATGGTATGATCCATAAACTAATTTCGGCGAAGGGATGTATATCGAAAAATCATTAATATATCGCGAGGTTCATATCAGTTCCTTCCCAGAAGCTACAGCTCAAATAAAGAAATTCTTAGTAAATCAAAATACGTACAAACCTCGTAAAAAAAAATTCCGTAGCTCTGACAGAGTTAATTCAATGATTCACATCTCTGAATCGTATTGCGGAAGACGGCTTCAATATCACACGAAGACGAATTTCGTGTGATTTTCCTACGCGAGACTCACCTCAAAACTTTCTAGCTTCTTTATAAGGAAACACCTAGACTTCAACACCCTCAGTAATCCTGGTAGGAAAATCAACGACTTTTAATGACAGAATAAATGCAAGAGGGTCACCTGGCCTCTGACGTCCACTTGTTACCACGATCTGGCACGTCAGACGGGCACCTCTCTACGGCTTCCTCTCGGCGTGTTCAAGTAGGCCGATTACAGCAGGACTCCAGCTGTGCGCATGCCCCACTCGATCATACAAGATTCATACAGCCATGTTCAGAACATGTTTCAATAAAATCACATGGATGATTGATTCAGTAGCATTTATAGAAAATGTTATTTGTCGGTTTAATATAATTCTGAAGATGACTTGTCTTCTGGGAGTTTGCAGCGTCTGGTCTGGTAGAAATTGACAGACGTTTCAGAGGTGCTTACTGCCTCCATCATCAGGACGATGACTCTTCACCTACACGGCTTATCTTACCAGAAAACATTCATTTTCATACTCGCCACCTTGAGAACCTGAAATCTCATTTAATATAATTCTTAACGAACGTATTTTGTAGTTTGAGAGTTCAGAATTTTTTGATGTCCGCTTGTAACTTGATTTAATATACATGATAAAAGTAATGCTTATTGTAGTAATTGACGTAAATTTCATTAAAAAAACTTAATTAGGAGCGCTCAGAAGTGACGCTGTGTTTCACTGATCTGGACACATCACAACTTCCAGAACGAATTTTGGTTCAAATTGGTCTGATACATTTTAACCATTGCATTAACGTAATATATGTTTTTAGGATCATACAAACTTCTCCCGGTTTGTTTAAAACATTTTTCGTAATAGTGAATTTTTAACAACAAAGTTGAGGGATTCTCAATATTTTTTAAGACCTGGGGCCATATTCACGTTTTTCTATTAGGATTTTTTAATAATGCATATTGAAAGAATATTAAAATATCTAACATTTCCAACCGTATTTGGAAAACATCTCAAAGAATTTACCCTCCGCTAATTAATATGGCCGTGATCGACCCATCGATTATGTGGGAAATGTGTAATAAGCAGGAAATTTACCCGGTGATTTGCGGTGACATCGAGCAGTCGTTCGGCTTCACAGAGTAAATGATTTCCGTATAAATTCCCAATATTGTTAGCAGTTCGAATCCTGTCTTGCAGATAGCATATGAAATTAACTCAGTTGAGCATAATTATTATTTGAAAGCTCAGGTGATCAAAAGTTTTCAGCCATTTTAATGTTTCATAAGAACCCGCTGATAGCTGAATGAATGACCTTGAAATGTTCCAACAGCGTGTTCGGTTATTATTTTAATATTGCACTACAGTGTTGTTAACAGTGTAATGAAAACACGACAGACAGGTATTATTCACTCCCATTAAAACGTGAAGAACATCTAACATCTTAAGGAAGGGATATTTGGAGAATATAAATGGTGGGTAAAACCTGATATATTTTTTCTCGTCAGAATTTTCCATATAGAGCATTGTCATGAAACAAGAACCGAACATCTGCACGATTACCAGGTTGTTTTCGTCAGACCCTCTAAGGGCTCTTAATAATAATAATCCGTGGCGTAACAGCCCTATGAGAACCCTTAGTACATCTTAATTATCAGTTTTTGTTTTCGTCCGGATCAAGTCAATGCAAGACTGCAACATAGGAAATAAAAATGTCCCTGAGGACGAAATCAGTCCAATAATATTAACGCAAATAAAAAATAAATTCACATACAGACCAGCTAATGGATTGATATGGAAATAAGTGTATATAAAAATAGACCCTTGCTAATCTGTCGAGTATAATTATATCATTTATATTCGTTGCCCTGTCCCCTGTACTTCTGCAACCACATCAGGCACATATAATCTACCTGATCGCCCGTCAGCCGGCAGATAACGTATTGATCGCTTAGGCGATGTTTCCAATAGGAACGACTGTGTTTTCCTTAAGAGTGTATTTACTTTACGGATTCATACAATATTGCTTAACACAGGAATAAATAAAGGGTTTGGCACAATGGTACATCGAGAATCGAAATGCTGACAGAACAGTGGACCTGCTATACTTTTCGAAAACTATATTCTCAGATTTTTCAACTGCTTGAATAATATAAGACTTGAAGCTTTTGCAGTGACTAAATGCAATAAAATATTCTCAGGAGACAAGCCATGTCAAAATGGAGTCATAGCCCATTTCAGAGATGCTCTCTATCTGCATAATCATTCCCTGATGATTTTATTGCTTAAATAATGTTCTTCATGTCTGATGGACAACCGACTTATCCTATTTTTAATCACAACTTACTTGAGCCAATCCTTAGCGAGTTGGGCGTTAGGAAAGAGGAAATCTCATATACTGTAACACTATTTTGATGGATTTTCAGACCCAGGATGACATAGACAATATAGAAAATGTGACAGCTTTCAAGAATATTTTAATTCACAGAAAGTACATGTATAAAATAATACAGTTTTCCATCACAATAACCTTATGTGAATAATTACCATGAATAATAAATTCTCCAGCATTTTAATTACACACCGTACTTTATTATACAAATATTATTTGCTTAAAAGACACTTAAATCTATCAAAATGTTTGGGAATGAAAAACTTTCGGCCAAGTCTCATTAATCAAACACCAATTATTAGATATTCACAATCTTTACCAAGAAAAACAAATTTTATTTTGATACAGAATATTTTTTTTTTACACTTTACAGTTTTTAAATCTTACTCAATAAGGAATAATTTTTTCAGTCCTGTATATGAATATAAATAACATGATAACCAAAGTATAATATACAAATAATACATTAATAAAAGACCAGAATAGCAATACATGATTCTGAAGTTGGTCGCTTTGAACATGAGATAATTATAACGATGATTCATTCACATATCCATAGTCTCGTTATTTCCCAATGAGTTTTTTTCATCTATGGTTCATATCTGCTGCAGCAGTTAACAGTTCACGCTATTAATGGTCGTATTTTTATATACAACTAAATGTGATCACGAAATTGGCCACCACAATCAGGAAAATCTAAAAGATAAGTACAAATTTGTTACGAATGTCACGCTATCTGTAGATGAAATGAGGATACAGACAAAATGGTGAGATATCGCTTCCCCACTTAATGGTACCTGCACCTTGTCGTGGTGGTGGGGCTTGAGTACCTCAGTGATCCCAAGAGCTACTGGTAGTGCCTCCCTAGCCAGATTGGTCGAGGGGGAGAGGTCAGACTAAGACAGGTACCCTGGTCCTCCAGGTTGGGGGTTGGTCGCAAGGCTAACAACCTTGCACCGTAAAAAGGAAGATGTTTCGAAACCTCGATCAAAGCCTCGGACAGACGGACCTAACGGAGGACCGAATGGAAGAGGAGAATTGAGGAGGCCATGGACCAAATACGGACCGGAGAGCCATAGAAGAAGAAATATCGCTTTAACCGTACCTCATCTGAATACTTCAGTGACTGTTCGTGCGCAAATCTAAAACGAAGCGATTCAGCTTCTCTGCAGAGAATATAGAATAGCTGTCTTATGAAAGGATTTTGAATTTTGATATCAGAGGGGAAAGGAAATTTATTCCTGCAGGTCACAGGGTACATTGTATTTAATTTGGTCCACAGTGAAACCCTCCCCGCCACAATAAAAGCTGAAAATTACACTTAACTTAAAAATTATCAGTTTCTACAAAGCAGTTACCTGGAAAGGAAAACAAGAAGGAAAAAGGACCATGTGAAAAGAAGCTCTCTCATTAACCCTTTTAATTGCTAAGTATTTCTTAGCTCAATGACTTCTGAAGAAACATACAAATACTTCCAAAAGTTTGTCACTTATAATACAGATCTAAAAATTAAGAAAGAAAAAAGTAAGCAAATGTAACATCCTCCCAAATTCTCTACTTCTTATGAAGTGCATGTCATTCCTAGGTTAATATACTATTAAACACATTTTAAAACCAAAAATGTTCATAACTTACTGTAATCTAAACTCTTTGAACTTGAATATGAAATTTACATCCTGGCATGGACTGTACTTCAGCTGTGACCATACTGTTAATCCCCAAATTGGACAAGGCACCACGAATCAAGCCACACGTAAATGCTACATACTGGAAAAACATAAATCATAGTCAGAAATTAATTTCTAGGTTAACTAATTCATATAATAAGTAGCTACATTGTAACAGATACAGCAGAATCCTCTTGTGGTTTTACAAATTCAACACATATTATTTGCCACTGCATAATCTATTGAGCATGGGACCCAGGCTCTTGGAGATTTTCTAGCCATCTACAGAACTGCTTCATTATTACAGCATAATACATGTTAGAACACTGAGAATGGTCAAACTAAATTATCCATTCCATGGAACAGAAGAGAAGAAGAAAAAGGTTGAAGACTTCAAAACTGTCATTACCTTTGGTGCCATCTCAAGGTACTGCCGACCTGCCGAGAGCCTCGTTAGGAAACGAAAGGCATTATCTTGAAGAACATATACTCCTTGATGGTTTGTTCTCAAATTGTCAATTTGCTTTTTGTTAATTGATGACCAAAAATCCGTACATATAAATTTCATGGTGTCTAATTCATCCTTAAATCTTGGCCAGTCTTTAGTTAACCTAAAAGCATAGTTCAAATACACTGCAAATATGGAATATTCTGATTTACTGTGTACTGGGTATGGCCATAACAAAGTAAGAACATGTGGTGACCATATACTTGACCTTTAAATTTTTAGTATGAGAAGCAAAGATTTTTATCAGGTGTTATTGGACATTGTTATGGTAGATCAGGAATGTACTGTTCTTGATAAAATGTGCAAATATTTGTAATTTCCCTTCAACCACATATACAATGCAATGCAATATATGATTATATTATACCTTTCAATTATTCTGTATCCAGTAGAAAACCCTATATACTCTAATGTAGACAGATCACCATGCTATAAAAGACCAAATAACTGGATTAGATTTTAGACGTGTTTTCAGTTTAAATAAATAACAGTGCATGATAAATTCCATATTTTTAAAACTACAGTGCCCGTTTAGCGATTACCTTTTTGTCCTTTTCAGAATTAGTTAGAACGTATGAAACTAATTCTGAATGCAATAATTCAAAAAGTACTTCGTCTGCCATTTCTCAAATGAATTTCCCGAAGGGTTTTTCTTTGACACCACACACGGCTATGTAAAGGTTAGTAAACGCATTAAAGTTGTGGAAACCTGCAAAATGTGGCTGATACATGTATCTTAGATGTGTCTAATAGTAAGTCATACGGCACTTCAACTGGCATTAATTACGCACACAGTACAATGATTTTCTTTCAGTATTTCTAAACAATGATTTCACTTCCGACATTAGATAAGTTTGTTATGTACACCTCCGACTATTAACTGTACATCCTATTTTATCTGCGATGAATCTGTTTCCATCAAATACTAGTTTTTACAGAGTACATACTAAACAAAAACGCCTCTGTAACTTCTATTGTAGAACCCATGGAAGACTAGTGATTGATAACAGGTTCAACCATTGAATGCATGTGCTGTAGACCATTAGTATACATATTCGTGCACAAAATTTAATCTCTGACGAATTCCTCTACTTCACAGATCACCTCAATCTTCTATAACCTCTGATTTAGACTAACCAATAGCCCGCTCTTTAACAAAAACCTATCAAAATAGCATAGCCAACAACACAAACACTACTGAATTCTTGTAAATTGCAAATGAAATTTAATAGTTGGCATATGTTATATGTGTAACGATATACGATAAACATAAATTTACTTTATGATTTGCTTTATACCATTCCGTTTGTAAGGAGTTTGAAAGATGTGTATACTTTTGCAGTGTTTATAGATGATTTTTCTTCTGTATTGTTGGTAGTTTTTATTGATGGTTTCGCAGTTAAATAAGTTGTTTCATTGTAGGAAAGGTATTGTAGGAAAGGTATTAGTTTCGTATAAGCCAAACGAAATTATTTGATTATTTAGTACATCTATAAGTAAATTTAGGTTATCATGGCCACTGAAATCATGAAGTCTTTTGGGGCTCTGCAAGCAGAGCTTGAGAAAGCAAAGGATAACCTTAAAGGAGTCGATGAACACATTAAAAAACTTATAGGAAGAGATCCAAGCGAAGGACAACAGCGGTAAGTTTTATAAGTTGTAATAATTGTTTAGGCACTACAGAAATTTGTATTTATTTAGACAAGCATTGCATATATGAAGCTTCATTAATTAGTGTTATTGTATGGTATTTGTATGCATGAGTACAATACTGTATATTGCTTTGTGGTATCGCCGGTGTGATCTCAGTATTGACCATTTAATTATGGCAATGATTTAAGAGTTTTCGATTACAGGATCTAGTGTAGATATCCAGTTACACATTGCCATGCTAAAAGAGGCCTTCAACCTATGATATTATCATTCTGAGGTTTATTAAATTTCAGAGTGATGAAGCCCTGTTAAACTTGCATAATTCATTTTTAATGTATTGGTCCCCTATCATGTTTGCATATTTGTTGTTTACAGAATCATGGTTGTTTTTAATTATAGGCTTGGTGTGAAAAGGCCAGCTGCGCAGCCTGAGGAGTTTAGGGGAAGAGGACGTGGATTTACCCCAGTGAGGTACGTATGTGGTGTTGTAGTGGTCTCCATTTACTAAGCTAGGCTAATGTAATGTCACATAACAAAACTGAACCTTACCATTATGGAAGACTAATGTGGATCATCCTGAAATAAACTTGTGAAGCCCTCAGTAAAATCATCATTACCTTTTTTTATTGCTCCAGATCTCCTTGCCTGTTACTAACCTAATTTGGTCATGCAGATAAGCATTTATTGTATGATACTGTCATTAAAACTCTGCATATATTGCAGGGGCCGACGAGACCCTGGTGGAAGACCTGAAGAAGAGGAGTCACCACTCATCAAGAGAAGACCTGGTGACCCTAGGACTGTGTTTAGCAGGTATATGTTTATTCTTATTCCCTGTAGATAGTTGACATAAGAGATCCTGAATATTATTGTTAATTAATTAATATATTATAATGTGATATACTTTCTTCTAACCCTTCAAGTTAGCATTTAAATCCATGTGGTTTATACATGCCAGTGAAATTTAAGTGGCCACATACATTTTTAATTTCCTATTATTGGCAATACTACTATGGCAGATTTTTGAATTTGTGATATGTTGACAGATTGTCAGGTCCACCGAGGTTGAAACGGGAAGGAGATAGTGGTGATGAAGAGGAGGTTGCAAACAAGGTAAAAAAAAGGCATATTGTGTTCTCAGTTCACTGTAAGCTCTGGTTTTTGTAAAAGAACTGTTTAAGTTTGTTCCAGTTATGGTAATCTGATGGGTAGAAATCTGGAAAATTTGGTGGCCATTCTGTGAATTTGACATTAAACATTTTAGTGCATAATATGATTATTGTTGAAGATGGTTGTATTCAAGGTTGTTGTGCCTGACAATGGAGGCAGTAAGGACCTCTGAAAAGCTTAGAAAGATAAAATATAATTTATTGATTCATATTAAAGAAGCAGGATTTGTTGTCCTTCACTGTAACCTGATATTTATCTTGACAGCCTGCAATTTCATCCAGAGTTATCGCTACCCCTAAAGAACTACCATCAAGACAGGAAGCCATGGCTGCACAAAGCAAAGATGAAAGAAGCAAGGCTAGGTATGGTGATATATGTATATTATGTGATAAGATGGGTGCTAGATGAGCAGTATATTTACATTTATTCAAAATTTTCTGTATTTGTTTAATTTTTCTTTCCAAAATATTTTCACTTTGAGCTGTCAGACAACCAGGATTTTCCATATTTCTCCGTATTCCCACACCTCAACACAATTGTCATTTGGTGGATAATGCACAGTAAATGTTTTAATATGTGGTATGTAGTTGAAATTGTCAGTATTTAAAGATTCTTGATGTGAAGGAATTTGTTCTGCAGGTCTTTTATTGCCATAGTGTTGGAAAGCTTTAGTTTGTATGCAATTTTTGTAATGTTTTTATGTTTATGAAATCATTGAATATGATTTTCATGGAATTTTTCAAAGGGAATGTTTAAATAATATCAATGTAATTTTTAATTTTCTAGAATTTTGTTTAATCTTTTAGGAACAGAAGGATGTTTGGTGCACTTCTTGGTACTCTTCAGAAATTTCGTCAAGAAGAAACACGAATGAAAGATAAGGTATTTTTTTATTTATTCTTTTAGCCTTTGTACTTTATTTTGTTATTTACTTGTGTGTCTGTCTGCCTGCCTGGCTGTGTGTAGGATATTTTAGGTTAGTTAGGCAGATGTTTTTGTCTAGTGCGTAAATGCTATGGTCTTTGTTAGTTTCTTGTTTTTATTTTCCTGTTTAGGAGGAGAAGAGAGCAAAAGTCGAAAAGAAACTGGAAGAGAATGCGAAACGCGAGAAGGAGGAATTGAAAAAGGAACGCCAAGAATTGTTTCAAGAGAGAAAACGGAAACAAGCTGAGATAAAGAAAATCGAACTGAAAATGTTAAGAATTAAGGAGGTGAGTGATTTGTATGATGAACCATTTCATGTTTTGTGCCTGCACAATAAAGTTTTGGAAGTAATGTGTGGGCTATTTAAGCAGTCATATATGTGATTGATATATAAGCCGATTCGAAACTGTTTTACCAGGAACATGTTACTAAATGAGACTGGCAAAGCTGAATGTGTTGGGTATTGTATTTTTATAGATGTCTTTATTTTTTTTCAATAAGACACAACAAAGCAATATGACACAACAAAACCTAACAATGAACTCTAGCCATACAGTTTCAGCATTGTGCATGATTTTGTCAGATTTAAACTGATACCCCTCATGTGAAACATGTTTTACAGGCTGTCAGCGAAGTCTCTTTTAGTATTTACAGAAAATTTTCACATTCAGAGTTCAGAATGAGCACCTGGACTTGTTTGTAATTATTACAGTATTTTGGTATATTCATCCTCTCATAAGCTCATCACTTATGTCAAAATGTCTTCCTCTTGCTGTGTTTATATAATTCTTATGAAAACTGAGACATTTTTTTCAAATATATAGCAGAACTTCTTGTGAACAGTTTTTATTTGGAGTTTTGGGGAAATCCGATGACTGTCTTTTATTCATTCTAGCAAGATGAATGGGAAGCTAAACATAGGCATCTTCTAAACTTCATTCAGACCCGATCCAAGCCTCATATATTTTATCTTCCAAAAACACACAACTTGAAAACAGAAGAAAGACTTGTTGCCAGTCAGAAGGTTGTTGCAAGTAAGTAAATGCAATTTCATCTTCTTTATGTTGTTCCTTTGTATCAAAAAGTCGTACGTAACAATATTTTTCTGAACCGTAATATTTGGCCATTCCTTACCAAATCTTAGCAGGATTCCTGTTTGTCAAAGCCCAATTTACCCATCCATATAGAAGTTTTAGAACAGATATGACTTTTTTCAGAGATCATCTTCCAAATTTTCTTTTATTAATCACTTCTCTTTGATCTGAAAAGATAATTTATCTTTATCTCAGTAGACATTGTACCTTAAATTCATATACCCATGACATTTATACCATTTTCATAGCAGTTACTTATATAAATGAGTCATTGTGTCACTAGACTGTCGTGCCATGTTCGTTTCTTAAAGTAATTAGTTTTAATTTTCTGTATTGGTTTCTAGACGTACTGGTCTGTAATTCAAAGTAAATTAAAGTTTTGGTTAACGTTACACATGTGTCTGTTTTCAGAAATGATAGAGAAAAAACGTCAAGAGGTTCAGTTGGAGTTAGAGGCCATTGAAAAGCGGGGTCGCTGGCGGCAGGGCTTAGGAGAGTCCGAGGGAGGGATGGGGCAGGCAGCGAGTGCTGAGCTTCAGTCCATGGTTGATATGGAAACTTTGGAGGCGGGGGACAAGGAGAATCGGCTAGGGGGTAATACATTTTCCCAACCGCAGGCTTTTACTTTATTCTCAGATGTTATGTATTTATTTATAGTTTATTTAACGACACTTTTTCAGTAGCTCTGACTGTATAGTGTCAAATGAAAGGATGATAGTAAGTAATGAATTGGAAGTGATCGTGGCCTATCCCAGTACAGGTAAATCTCGATTTGCGCCGATTCAGAATAACGCCGCTTTTGAAACGAGCAAGTCAAAAAGTGAAAAAAAATTTATTTTACAATTATTTATAACGTTTTACAATGTTTCTCATACTGATTCTTATACTAAATCGTAATTTTTACATCGCTGATTTTGAATAAAAATTATAAATACAGTCACCTCTGCACTCATTGCTAAGTAGTCGCGAGATAATCTCCTAAAAATCTGCCAACATTGCGCAACAGTCACTTGAGCATTGGTCACTCTTCACGGTGAGTCATTTGCATTCATCCTGATAAGGGTGTAAGGAAAAATGCGCTCAGTTCGCTTCTTGTTGACACATTGAATGTGCTGAAAACTGTGTGCTAAATGTGTTTGTGTTGTTCGACCTCTATTCTGCAGTAGCAACTGTTTTATATTTATAAATTGTAGAAGAGCCACCTTGAGAAGTGAATGTGTTGCTGAAAAGTTGCGTAGGTCTATTGCGTTAGAAGATAAGATGGACGTAATTCGTAGAATAGAAGGTGGTGATACCCGTCGTAATGTGTGCAGAAGTATGAAGTTGCCTCCTTCCACTGTGACTACCATAATGAAAAATTCATAAAAATAAAACAGTCGATACAACAGGCTACGAGAGTAAGTGCAACGCAAATGAGTTATAGCAGAAGTAAACTTTTAGAAAGAACGGAGAAATTACTGTTGCTATGAGTGGATGACATGAATCGAAAAAAACATTCCCTTGACTGAAACTGCTATCACGGATAAGGCGAAGTCAATTTTTGAGGAACTTAAGTCGTCAGTGTTTGGGTGCCGGGAACGCACGTTATTGACTTCCCATTGATTTACATTGTAAGAAGAGTTTCAATTTATGCCGATTCCATTTACGCCGGTTCGTCCAGGAACGCATCCCCGGCGTAGATCGAGGTTTACCTGTATTTGCCTGGAGGGACTCAGGAGAACCGCGAAAAATCTCCGTCAAGAGAGTTGCAGTCCGGATCAAGATTTTAATGGGTGGGGGGGACGGGGAGGAATGCCAGAGAGCAGATAGGTTTATGATCAGTCACCATATAAAATGTTGGTTTTATGGTTAATGTTCTCTGTTTGGACTTTTTGTGGACTAATATCATCTCGCGACTGATATCGAGAAGTTCAGAGTGGATAAATTTCCAGTTATTCATGAAATTGTGACAATAAGTCTGGAAAATTTTAAGTATGTAGGATGCGGGAAGTGTTACGGGTAAAATTACAGAGAATCAAATAATGTTGGGAAATTTACTGATTGATAAGGGAAATTTTACTGATTGGTAAGAGACTTTCTCTGTGAATGTGAAATCTGTAAGGTGAAAAGCATGCCTACTTAAAAGATACTACGTGCACGTCTCATTCGATGCTTCTTTGTTTTTCAGGTGGTGTTGATGTTAATGTAGATAAGAATGAAAATGTTGAAGGCCCAGAAACAGGTAAGGTTGCGGGTGGGATTGAAAGGACAGAGAAAGGCCAGATAGTTAGCCTTCCTGTAGGTTGTCAGATTGGATTGGATACGGACGTCATGGATTTTAGGGATAATGAACAAGATGTAAGGAAACAAAGTTTAGAAAGAGATAAAATTTCTACTGTGCTTGTAAAGATTGAGAAGGAGGAGGAGGAGGAGGATGACGATGATGACGACAATGATGACGACGACAATGAGGATGATGACGATGATGATGATGATGATGATAAAGATAATGATGAAAGGGATACAATTTTGCCTCTTACTTCCTCTGAAAAGAAACTTGGAGAATCTAAATATAAATTAGAAGCAGATGTACAGGAACAGTCTGAGGCTGTATGAATGTTAGCGACCCTTAGTAACCTGCATGTTCATATAGCCGCATAATTATAACGTTTTAACCAGGTAAATGCCTGTTCTCTTCCAGTGTGTGTGCGTGTGTGCATGTGCTTGTGTTTGCATGTGTGTGAGAGTCCTTACACATGGAGTAAAAAAATTGCATTTGCCTCCCCCCCCCAAAGAGAATTTAAGCAATTTTGTTGCCTTCAGAGTCAGTAGTTTTGGGTTCGAGGAATGGGCTTATTTGAGATCATACGCGTTCGGTGTCAAGAGTTTAAAAACCGGCGAGCCAACTCGGTAACTCTGAAAATTTGTGCGCCTGAAGTGTGTGATGTCACGCTAACCCATTCGCTAAAACTGCTCTGTCACGAACCCCCAGCCATTGATAGTTTTCACGACCGGATTAAGCTACTCATTGTAGCTCCCCAATTTCCTCACGATGCTGGGTTGGCACCGGTCCCATACACTGGTCGAAAGCTCATGAGAAAATTTCTTCTCCCCCGAGACTCGAACCAGCGCGCATTCCGTATCTCCGGTCCGAAGCAAGATGCCTCAGACCGCGCGGCTATGGCGCAGGACTAAGTATACAGTTACGTTGTTTATAAACATGGTGTTTGTCAGTTTTGGAGTAAAAGAAACAAACTGACATTGAAAATTTAAAGAAGTGGATTCGGGTGGGATGGCGACACAATTTTATCAGTGCTCATTTGAATACATTAGGTTTTTTTTTCTGTATAGATGGGGTTAGTTAATTGAAGTGAGGTTTTGCACAGAATTATGGGTGAGCCAGTGCAACACTGGAATGAACAGACAGTCCGCAAAGTTTATACAGGATTTTGTTATCTTCATGATCAGGAACATTCATAACGAAGAAATTGGTGTAGTTCTCTAATTAATAAATTGTATGTTTTATACCTGGTTTATTGTTGTTTGTATTGACACGAGAGGCTGCAAAACAAGCGCAGGAGTGAGTAATACCGCAGATTGAAATAAGAAAAGGAGCAAATTTTTGAGGTGTGTGAAGCGGAAAAGTTACTGACTTCCACCACAGCTTTGTTTAATGTGCCATTTATCTTGACATTTGTAGTAGATTAATCATGAAACAGATCAACGGTCCTTGTTCTATACTATCTACTGAAAATATGCCGGGCTTTTAATTTTTTTTGTACCGAAAGAGCACTTTCCACGTGCTTTTCTCTTTTATGGCGAATACCAGAATTTATTTCTCTAGAAATTAAAAAAAAAGAGAATTTCATTGTAATGTGTATGTAAACAGAATTGGGCTTGAAAGCAAGACAGGTTCCTGAACTTTCTAACGTTATGCATACCTGGCTGTCCATGTAAAAACAGATCGGCGTCGGTTTAATATATTTCCGATAATGCGGTCGAGTTGCGTAAGGTTGCAATCGCACGTAACGTGGAAGAAACAATTTTACACGTGCGCATGTCTGAATATCTTTTTATTACTTAACATTGAACCGTGACCAACAGATGGAATGTGTGACAAATTTAAAATATCCAAAATGTTCCAGAAGAAATTTTGCAATGTACAGTTACATATTCTGAAGGAAATTCTATGATATATATTATTTATTCTCAGGTGTATAGGGAATTATGAGGAATAACATTAAACATGTGTAGTTGACTCAGGGTCTCATGTTAGGCGCTGAAATCTTAATCCTGTTAATTATTGTTTTAAATAATGATGCGTGGTCATGTGGGACAAGTGCTGGAATGGATTTGGCACGCGTCGACCAGCACAGAATTAAGACCTTCTGAGTTACTTTATTTTGAGGTAAAAATGCATTCAGCATATAAATATTCTTAATTTCAGGAATATGAGTTATAAATGTGGCATCTTTTAACATTGTTTCTGCAATGTTGAAATTGAGACTTCTTAAAATTAGTATTCATATTAACGTAAGACACTAGATAATTAAATTCAGTTTTCATAAGAGCGGTAGCCCTGGTGTATGGTAGGAGAAGAAGCCTTTTATTTGTTGTGAAATGTTTGGTTGCTATTCCAATGAAACTATATATATGAAAAGAATCTGTGATTGAAATAATTGCTCCTATTTCTTATTGCTTTTGTTCCTCCTCCATATTCCACAATTTGACCATTTTCGGCAAAACTCTTGTGCATTGTTCTAGTCAGTTGTTTTCGTGTGTATTGAGGTATATTATGCTGGTCAGTTGTGGTAATTCATGTTCTATTAAGTTTCTGAAGGGAAGTGGGCCATTAGTTTCCTGGCGGCCCATTGTGTATTGTGTGTGGTGAAACGGGCTGTAATTTTGTGGCCGCTGGTGTTATTACAATTTATATTTTGAGAAGGATTGTACACAGTGTGGACAACAAACAGCACTGACCTTTAAGACCCACAACAGTGAAGGTGGCTGCAGGAAATTGTGTTTTTGTTTAAAGTTTAGGTTACCTACGTATGTGAATATAGTGTGGTCGCTACTTTGCAGTGAGTTTAGCCGGTAAGCAAAGTAGTCGGTAAAATGGGAGGGGGGAGGGACAAAATATTAAACGATTGTAAAAGGAATACAGTAAAATATAATCTAATAAAATCCAGAATGGAAATGGAGGGGATAAATGTGTATTCGCGTCCTTGTAACATACTGCCAACAGAGTTACTTTGTATCATGCACGAATGGTTAATGCATGTAGTCAAATCAACAGTGTGATCAGTGGGCGCATTTCCTGATAGGCAGATTGCAAGGAGGCTGTGCTCCTATAGTCATGTTTTGCTTTTAGGTTATGTTTCATGTTTCTTCAATTGTTAATTTTTCTTGAACGTGTGTTCCGTGTGGGTGATATCTGCAAACTTCATTGGTAAGTAGATTTGTTAATTATTAAAAAAATCTGTTGAAAAAAATTGGAAGTGGCTGCATTATTTTACAAATTTACGTTAGCTGTAGCAAGCCACACTGTGATACAATTTGAAGGTAAAGAGGCATTGTGGAAATTCAAGGCCAAGTTCTGTCATATATTACAATATTAATTTAGGGAGATAAATGGGTGAAGGACCAAGGCTGGATGTTTAAAGTTAATTTACAGCCACATAAGTCTGAAATGTCACTGTAATATCTGCATGAACTGTATACTGCAAGGGCACTGTTACTTATTCATAGTAATTTTGTTTCTTGTTTTATTAAGATTTACGCTTAGTTGAACAAAGAACAAGTTTGTGGTTACATTCAAGCTAACCTAAGTAGAAATTTTACGTGAAATATCCTCCAGTACACATTTAATAAGTAGATAATATCTTAATATTTTAATGAAATTTGGTATGGACGTTATGTTAGGTGATTAATGCGAACTCATAATTTTTAAATTTCTATACTCGGTAGAACTCGCAACGTGGATGCAAGGGAACTTGATGACTCTTTCAGGGACAATACTGTACATCCGCTGTCAGTTCAGACGTCTTGATTCTTCTTTAGAAAAGCTGTCTCGGTCTCATTTTAATGCGACTGCGTGGCACATGGTAGCTCGACACTCACTAATTATGGTACTAATGACAAGATGTTTCGGAAGGAGGGGCGAAAAGGCGGTAAAACTTCAAAGGGCGCCATAGAATCTCTCCGATCTTCATGGCGTTGAAGTCTCTTCTTACTGGATCATCTGTAAAGATATGTTCACTGTCGTGACCTCAGGGTTATGACACCACGGGAAGTAATTTACACGTTTTGAGAAATTCATTAGTAAACTTATGACATAGCTGATATGACCAAACCTTTTTCCTCTGTTCTGGTGCTGTCAAAATCATTTCTTTCGTCATCCTTGACACCAAATCTGCTACTCGTGTTTTTCCTCCTTTCTACAAATATAATTTTTAAGAATAAATTACCCAGTTCGTAACTACCATCAAGAAATCGATTGTTTTCTCCATTAACTTCGATAACTTATTAAAAGCTTCCAGTATATCTGTCTTCCGAACGTATTTTCTGTTATTTATTCCTGTATCAATGCCTGAGATTAAGTCTTGTAAATGCTAAATTTATCGCTTTATGTATGCATTAAACCGCATTTGGTTGCTAATTTAAAAAAATTGTCGTTTTATGGGCTTAGATATTTTTTGGAACCCTAACAACCAGGCCAGATAATGGGGATGGGGAGAAAGAATCCCTGAAGATGGAAGGTTTTTATGAAACCGAAGTAATTTTTTTATTGAGGTGAATATTGTCAGAAATACTTCCAGGGCAGCGGGTTAAGTGGTTATATTATATTTGATAAAAGGAATTATATTTTAATTCAAGACTAGTAAAGTGCTAAGTCAGAGATGAAGCCCTAGACTTAAGATCGACGTATGTTAATTTATGAATAATAATTTGTAAAGACTATCGAATATCTAATGGAGTGGTGACAAGTGGTTATGGGGCAAAGGTAAAATTATAATTAGAAGAGATAAATTAAAGAAATTGGAGAAAATAAATTAGTCCGTTGTTGTTTTGTTTATCAGAAATTTTACTTTCAGTCACTTGGGATTGAACCTGTGTCTCCGCGGTAAGACGCCAAAGTGTATACGATATATTTGATAATAGTATTTATACAAAAATGTAATCGATCAGAGCTTCACGTGTATACGATAAGAATAAGACAGGCCTGGAGCCAAGCCACATGTGTCACCA